GCGCGAAAGCGAGTCAAAGCGCGAAAGCGAGTCAAAGCGCGAAAGCAAGTCAAAGCGCGAAAGCGAGTCAAAGCGCGAAAGGGAGTCAAAGCACGAAAGCGAGTCAAAGCACGAAAGCGAATCAAAGCATGAAAGCGAGTCATAGAACAAAAGTGAAGAACAAATGTGAGTCAAAGAACGAAACTGTGTTGAAGGTCGAAAGTTAATCAAACAACAATTGTGAGTCACAAAACGGAAGTGGTTCAGCGAACAAAAGTATTACATGAAGAATTATTTTGCCCATAGTTCAAGCCCGACCTCACCCTAGTGAGTAATCTTTGAAAAACATTTCACCCACTTTGACTCCCTTAATAATAATTAATAAGTGAATAAAAATATTCACGAGTGCGAATTGGTGAACGTAACGCGCGACGGTGAATTACGTCAGTATATGCGAATTATGTTCCATTTACAATAAGTGGTGCAGATACTAGGAACAAATCAATTGTCAAATCATAATGATACAACTGTCTCCGATAGAGACAAGGCTCCTCTTACATTTCATATTATTTCTTGCGGACCAATCTGAATACATAATTAATTAAACCAGTGATAACCAATGTACATCCTAAGAGTTAAGTTTTCAGTGCATTCGGCTAACTTATATCGTTTTCTCATGTCTCGCCTGTACGCATTTAATTTTACATGATCTTGTCTATACTCCATTAACACCCTATATACTCGCACGATTCTTACCCGATACATTTCTTGCCATCACCTCATTTCTCCTAATGAACTAGTTTGTTGCTCGCCTAGCAGAATAAACTAGCAGAATTTATCCTCTTCCTACCATTAGCACGGTCTTAACCTAACTTCGTTTCAACTGCTAACTCCGATGCAGTCGCAGACTCCTGGCAACATGTCAACAACTAATGCTTACCATTTAATATCCAAGAACTAGTACTATTAGTTGCTTTTTCTTTCAACTTACGCAATCGTCCTTACTCAACAAATAAGGTAAACATTACTACCTGAATCAAGTAGTGACTGCTGCATGTCGGCATCAATGAGATAGTTACTTGGGATATCGTTGCTCTCCTCTCGAGCGTGGAGTCTCTTAACTTAAGCACTCACTCTAGTCACTCACAGTAAACAGACAGCTTATCAACAATAACCAAACATGGCTTCAAATCTTTACTCTTTTATAATGGTTTCAAATTAAATGTCAAAAACAATGTATTGCACCTATTCGTCACGTCAACGTTCAAGTTGAGGAGAATACCGAACTAACTTATTGATAAGCATTTGAAATCGTCGACGGTCGAACTCGAATATCACTTTACGTTTGGCAATTAATAATTGCAGTATTAGAACTTTAAAAGACTCACCAACTATCACGCAAAGTTTTCACACAACTGTGGTCTCGAAGCTTATGAATAAAAACTATGGACTATAGACCTAAAGTGTCCACTAAACTACGTCGACTCGAACTTCATCTGTAGTTAAGTGCAACGCAATGACCACACTCACTGGACGGTTAATGAGGACTAAACAGTTGAGCCAAAGGTCTTCCCGCCACATTGTTTGTTGCAGACGACTGAATATAAATGAATGTATAGCCACCGAAAATTAAGAAAAATTATTAAAAAAATGTTCTTTTTGTAAGTTATTTAATCATTCTGTCGAATGTCGGTTACTGAGGAATGTTTATTATAGGAGAATTCGAATATAATTAAATAAATTGATAAAGGATGAAGGTCCATTTAATTTCAATTATTTTTCCTGACTGCACCGGCGTGTTAAAAAAGTAAAATAAAGAAACTGTATTAATACAAATCCTTTGATTATACGTCTATTTGATTGTATGGTTAACAGCAGAGAGCAATCGTCAAACCGATTCGACACTTCAGCGAACTCGCGTGCGAACTGGCCTGCGAACTCGAATGCAAACCTAACTTCATTTTCAACTGTGGCACTCATAAATCCTTCAATAATGAACGGATTTTATTCAAATTTGAAATATAAGTAGATAATATCAGTATTTTGCGGGGGGAATTTTTTCAGATTTTTACATCAATAACTTTTTTGTTAATACGGAAAACCTAACTTCATTTTCAACTGTGGCACTCATACCTCCTTCAATTATGAACGGATTTTATTAAAATTTTGAATAAAAGTAGATAATGTCAGTATTTTGCGGGGGGAATTTTTTTCAGATTTTTACATCAATAACTTTTTTGTTAATACGGAAAACCTAACTTCATTTTCAACTGTGACACTCATAACTCCTTCAATTATGAACGGATTTTATTCAAATTTGAAATATAAGTAGATAATATCAGTATTTTGCGGGGGGAATTTTTTCAGATTTTTACATCGATTACTTTTTGTTAATGCCACAAAATAGTGAAACTTGACCTGACTAGGACCTAACCTGCGAGGTGAACGTGAAGTTAGGTTTTCCGTATTTCAAATTTGAATAAAATCCGTTCATTATTGAAGGATTTATGAGTGCCACAGTTGAAAATGAAGTTAGGTTTGCATTCGAGTTCGCAGGCCAGTTCGCACGCGAGTTCGCTGAAGTGTCGAATCGGTGTAGCTGCATTGGTATAATAATGTATGCTCATGTTCATGTGGCCATATAGTCCGATGCGCTAATCAGAGATTAAATTCCTATTGAATATTGGGCTGATTTCGAATCATTCGTATTAATACAAATGATTTATTATCTTCATAACTTGAAATTTGTTCCTTTTTATAAGTTAAGGAAAATTTTCAATTATTTAGGGTAAAACAAATTGCATGTTTAAGGCAAGACCGAGTTTAACGAGTTGGTGATGTGTTCGTATCCGCAGTTCAGACTTGCCGCCTCGAGACGTGGAGTTTGTGCCATGAAATTACAAGACGGATTCGTCATCACTAACGGGGAAAGATGATTCAAATTACCGACACGCAAAGTAAGAAATTATATATAACATTGAAACTAAAATTAATTGGAATTGGGTGCGTGCTGACCTCTGGTTAAGACCAGTAGATCGGTCATCATGCATGCGGCATAAAAAACTCTTACAATAGCATCAATAAATTAAAAGTCACACTTGCCCCTTGGCAGTACAAAAAAAGTTCAAGTTAATAAATATTCACTACCACATAGCCTAATAGAATAAAACATTTCCTAGTTGTGCACGTCAACATCCTAAAAAAAAAACAGAAACAATGTACCTACTGATGTAAACAGAATGTTTTGGTGTTGAAGTTTTGGTGACATTTTCATCGCTCATCAGTGATGCCTGAATTTCTTACAATTCTGCCAATGCCTTTAATTCAATAAAATTTCCATTTAGATTCATCAATAAATTTGTGGTCAAATGCCTTAAATTGGTCTTTTCTAACTTCAAAGTATAATCTGTATGGGCTGCCTGCTGCCCTGCTGCTGACAGTGGGCCTTGGCTTTCCATCCTATGATCCTATGTATCCTAACTGGAAAATTAGGCAGAAGCTACCCCTGAATTGGACAAAAACACCCATGAATCTTGCCCTTTTTAACCATCTCTGTGTTTTTTTAATTGCTTTTGTTGAAAACAATTTAAATGGCCTATTTTTATCCATAACTTTAGGAAAATTCTATCCAATTTTCTAAATTGGCATAGGGTAAATGCGGTATATTCCGACATCGTGGGTAATTCCATCACCTCTCCAGCTTTTCCTTTATATTAAGCTTTGTTTTAGTTCCATGCATTTGTTGATGGTTGAAATGGTGACGTCATACATTTGCGCGTCAAAAAATTAAAAGCCTAATAGCTGTTAATTAAAACGTAATTAAGTAGTGTTCAATATTCGTTAGTGTTCTAATTCAAGGCCGTGTTGTATCCCAATACAGCTCACACAGCAAACGAAATTCAAACACGTGGATGTCGGCATTACGTATCAGTTAAATTTGAAGCGCTGACGCAATACGACTCACCACGTGCCGAATATTGCCACACACAGTGTTGGAATATAGGCATTTGGTAGGTTTGCATTCTAAAGGCTTTTAAATAAATATGGCAACATTTTGTGACGTTTTATCGTTGCTGGCGCGTAGTACGGTGTTTTGCGAGTCAAATAAAGCAAACAGAACTTGAGTAACGCATACGGTTATTTTTTATAGTTTTTCATTTCTTGATGCGTCCTTAATGTGTCGGAATATACCGCGTTGACCCTACCATTCTGGAAAATTGGGCAGAAGCAATCCATGAATGCCAGTTTGGAGTATGGGCAGACATTTTCTAAAATTGCAGGTAAAAATATTGTTTTAGATATGATTTTCAAAACTTCATATGGAAATAAGCCATTTTGGTAATTTTTACTGAAGATTTTTGAAAAAGACCATAGGATTAGAAATGGGTATAGGTATTAATTGTTTACTCTCTGGACTGCAAGCAGAATTTTTGAAGCTGTGAATCAAAGACATTTCAAATTATAAAAATATCTACCAAGCTGCTAAAGCCATTCTTGAACAGTTGAACTGCACATGCATATTATGACTTGAGCTCTAATTTTGCCCTCATGCTATAGAAATAGCAGTTTTAAAATTTTCCACGATTCACATGCATTCTAGCTTGTGATAATTCCTATTCTACATTTTGGCAAAAAAAAATTACTAGAGTCTGAGTCTGACATGCAAGTTCAAAATCTTCATCTTCAACATAAGGTTCATGCTGTTGTCACAGTTCAGGATATAAGAGTCTGACGCATAGTGCAATTCTATAGCCTATATGTAATATAAAAGTATGAATAATTTCATACAATCATATCTTTCTTTAAGGTAGTGAAGCAAATAAAACTTCCGAGAAAACTTATTGAATTTAGTAGTCTGGATATTGACTTCAAGCTTGGAATCTTGCTGAATTCCATGAGCAGGGATGGTTTCAGTTGCTCCAAAAGGTTAAGCCAAGAGATAATGAATTGCGGAAACCGTGTCAATTGTAGTACATCGGCAACAGGTAAGTCACGGCTGCTGCTCTGCCACCAGCTACGCACCAGGTTTGCGGTTCATACTGTGAAAATTGAATTACTTTGAATGTAAGGATCACAGAAAACAAGGTAAAAAGCATAAAATAATAAAGCAGTAAATTTATACAAGGTTAAGGTTAACTAAATAATCACCTGAGATTAAATGCCACTCAGTGTGCTAACGCACTTTTTGGAAGAATTGAATTGGGTGAAAAAAGAAGAAATCAGTTGAAGGTGGATGCTTCAGATGGAATTAAAGTAAGAATAGTTGAAGATTGGTGCTTTGAAGTAAGAATAAAGGTTAAGCGATTTGGCATGAACTCTGAAAAATAGAGCTCTAGTTGGTACCTCATCTACTTAAAGTTGAATTATTGAAGTTAAATTTGATAAATTATACAATTGAAGTCTGAAGCATCGCACACGTTAATTAAGCATAGATGTGAGCAAAATAAACGAAACGAAAGAATATCGGGTACTCAAACCAAGGAATAGATAAATCACAGAACAAGGAAGAAATTTAGACTTATGGTTGAATGCAGGTGAAGTAGCGGCGGCAGACGACAGGCAGGCTGGAGATAATGAAATTGCATGTGGCTACGGTGGTGTATCAGTGCGAGCTCTTATTTGCGGAAACCTGGGTCTGACCTAAATTACCCTAACAGCAAACTTACCCTAGACTAATCTTAATATTACCCAAACACAAATTAGTACTAAATTCAGTTTAAAGAATAGAAATATGATTAACGGTGGGAAATTTCCCACAAAAGAACATGGTCTTATGACATTTTAAATCAATTAATGCTTTTTTTATGGACTGCCACACAACACACTAGCACCTTCCCAAACTAAAAACAACTGTGCCCGAAATGAACAAAAATATAACTCAGTACTCACTGCAGTGAGTGGCAGAGAGTGCATTTTCTCATTGATGAAAACGTGAAGTCACAGACAGACAGATGGACATGGCAAGCACAATAGCACATTTTTTCAATAAATGAGTAAATGCGCTAAAAAGGGCAGGCTAGCGTTGCATTGGCAGCCAGCTACGCCAGCAGCTGCAGCAGCTCTGTCAAAAAATTTGAAAGTTAAAAGCTTTGATGAAGTCTGGTTTCAAGTCCTTACGAGCCTAATTCAGCCTAAAATATATTAATAATTTAAATTTCTGCATGGATTTCAGTGCTGGTAACATAGAGAAACTTCAAAGTATCTCTTGTTATAAATACTTGCTAAATAAATTTTAATTGTTTGCCAAAACATGTGACATTTATATCCAAATTAAAATTTATTTAGCATGTATTTCTTGCATGAGAGATACTTTGGAGTCGCTCAATGTTAGCAGTATTGAAATCCATGGAGAAACATGAATTTTTAATATTTTTTAGGCTGAACTTCCCACTTAAGAACTTGAAACCAGACTTTGTTCTGTTTTTAGCGCATTTTCTCATTTATGGAAAAAATGCACTATTGTGCTCGCCATGTCCGTGTTTCTGTCTGTCCGTCCGTCTGTCCGTCCATCCGTGACCTCAAGTTTTTGTTGACAAGAAAATGCGCTCTCTGTCACTCACTGTAGTGAGTATACTGAGTTATATATTTTTTTTTATTCACAAAATTCTTGACCAAGCTGCCACAACTGCTGGCGCAGCTTGCTGCCAATGCTGCCCTGCTCTTTTTGAACCATGACAATCCATTAAAATGTATGGTTAACTGTGCACTAAATTACCTTGAATTATTTATTGCTAATGCATGTTCATGCTAAAAATTTATCTTGAGTTATAAACACATATTTCCATGCTTTGGTGCAGTGAAATTCATCACATTAAATGAGAATTATCAAGTAAAATGTAGAAACCAACATCACGTGTATTGCCTCATTACAACTATGTAACAAAGTCTATTAGTGAATGGTTTTCTAGGAGCTATAGCCATACAAAAATTAATATAGAATCAAATAACTTAGCCAAAAGTTTATTTGTTGATATTAAACAATAACAAGTATTAATTATATAATTCTATAAAATTTAATGATAATTAAAGCATAACTTAAGTCAAGAAATTTTGCTTTTAAAAATAATTACTTTATCTTTATGATGTATGGCGTTTGACGTCACACACAATGCGATACCAGTGTGATGTCACCACAAGGTCCCTCCCTCAACTGTTAAGTTGGGTTTGAACATGGCAGCACCTTGCGACTTTTCCTAGATATTGTGAATATTTTCGATTTGATATTCTGGATTTTTGATTCTGATGTCCTGAGATACGCTGTTTCAACGTCTTTTACACCGGTGACATGTGACGTGAGTTGTGAAGTATAAATGAAGGAGTGAAGTGTCTCTGAGTTGAAGTCATACTGGTAGCTGTGCAACCTCCAAAAGTTAGTCATTGTCATTGTGCCAGTCATTGTTGGCATTATGCAACCTATGGAAGTACCCAAGCAAAATATTTTACTATTCAATTCTTTATTTTTAAATTTATTTCATGGATTGCAATATGTGTACCGTAAACTGGGGTAACTTTGACTCCCGGGGTAACTTTGACACTTTTGGTTTTTTTAACAAAAACCCCCAAAACTCAAAAACTATTTGACATAGAAAAATTTTGTCAATGGGCATTAAAGGCCTAATACTGAGGCTACGTAACACAATAGAAAGATTTAAAAAGTTTGCATATCTAATAGGTTAAAAAATTTAAAATGTGACCCATGAAAAAGAGCTACCGTAAACTGGGGTAACTTTGACCACTTTTTTATTTCAAAATGATGCCATTTTTTTTACTAGATAAGTTAAACTTAAATTGAAACATGCAAAATACAGGTCTATACTCTAGCTTTACTCACCATAAATTGCTGGCTCCTGCCTCTCATAGTTTTGATGTAATGTCAAAAAACATTGACCGGCTTGGAAATTAAGTTAAAATTACCATAGGTACCTATATAACATATTTTATGTTTGATACACCTATTAATGTTTTTTTCTTCATATTTCAGACTCTACAGAGTCCTATATATGGTAATTTCAACTTAACCCATTAATGACGAGAATTATTTACTGAATTTTTTTGGGGTTCCTTGTGAGAATATTATCATTTGTGATGGTAATAAACAAAAAATATGTTCATATAATTATTTTTCGTTGTATGTGAAAAAATATAGCTTGGTTCCATATGGAACCGCTAGGCATTAACATAACGTTTCTTCAAACAACACTTTTTCCGATAGTAAATCAGGCAAGGTTATTCATAATGGATAATACGTAATATACATATTCATAATGGACAATACTGATGATAAACCAATCATGGCAGAATACAATTTAATTTTTAGCATAGAATGCTTCCATTCATTCCAAATGATTAGGAATGTTGCCCAAATTACGAATGTTTGTGGGTGCGTTGTCAACATTGTTTACAAAGCACTGCATGTGCAGTGCTTCTGATGTCTCTTTGCTGGCCGATGTTGTTGATTGTTGTATTGCACTTCATCAAGGACTGAAGTAGAAGGGAGCACTATAGACCCTGATTGTTTTATTTATGGTCTCCTGTATTATTGCATTTCCTAACCGATCTTTTTGAAAATTTATTGCAATAGCCATTCTTTTTTCAAAAGTTTTTTGAGAAACCATATGAAACCAGAATAGATATCACATATAATATGTTGGCTTGGGACCAATAGTATCATGTTTATGGGACCAATCCATGTTCCAGCCCATGAATAAGTTTCTTTTTCTATTAGATCCACCGATTAGCTTCAATTGCAAAAAATATCATCTGATTTATCTGCTGCCCAAAGTTTGTAACTAAATCTCACGGGCTACGTAGCCACGTATATGTCGTAGTATAATGTGGCCATGTCGACCACAGTTGACTTTCTTCTCTGTCGATAGTCATTGTTTTCACATATGGTGATTACTGTTGCTACAATGACTATTCTCGATAGGCGAGCAGAATTGCTAGTGGCTACGTCATCTGAGTTATTTGAATCTCAGTATGTTTCGTTTGTTGCTGCTTCTGTGAAAGGTTCAGTAGCAAATATTTGATCTTCGTGTTATTCTTCTCGCAAAATTTCAATTATTTCATGTGATGATCTGCCAAAAATACAATTAGAAAAAAAGTGACTCAGGATGAACAATCGTATAGTGTTCAACGTACCTACTTCCAAATATTTCAACTTTCAGGATATATATTCCTAACAGCTCTAAAGATAATAGTTCACTAATAAATAACAGAAAAACTTAGATCTAAGATCTAAATAAATAATTTCTAAGTACAAACAAGTTTTTAAAATACAATGCGTAACTATATCACATAGTAATCTACTAGGAAAATGAGATGACCGGAATGCTTAGACTACTGCTGAGCGGTTCCATTTGGAACCAGACAAAATATTTCATGATCCAAATGACTTTAGAAACATTATATCACGTAATGCCATATACAGTATTAAAAGTACTCTCTTTATCGATAAAATTCTGCATCTAACTTATAAATAATAAATTCTTAGAACGAACTACTTACCTTTCTCTGCAAAGATGTCAAGCCCTTCTGTCTGACACCCGGTACTTACAATCTTTTAATGTTAACTGAGCAGAGAGTAGTCGGCGCAGCAGAACCAAACGTTGCCAGAACATGGACAAGATGTGTATCAAACCCACGCATCCACTAGTATAATGATTTGACCATATGAATTTAATTATGAATCCTTTTTTCTCTGCTGGTTCCAAATGGAACCGCTCGGCATTAATGGGTTAATTTCCAAACCGGTCAATGTTACCCCGTCACTGCTGCCATTAGATGGTCACATTTTGCCCATTTGGGGGCGGCGCCCCCCATTTGCAAACTATGACACTTTCCTAAAATTTTTCTTTTGCATATGTAACTAGAAGAGTTCTACTACAATGCATGGAGTTTTTTGGAGTTATTTTACCAAAAAATAAAATTGATTTCACCACTCGGTCAAAGAAACCCCCAGAGCTGGGGTAACAAAGACCATCACTTTTTTTTAAATTACATCAAAACTATGACAGGCAGGAGCCAGAAATTTATGGTGAGTAAAGCTAGAGTATAGACCTGTATTTTGCATGTTTCAATGTAAATTTAACTTATCTAGTAAAAAAATGGCATCATTAAAAAAAAAGTGGTCTAAGTTACCCCAGTTTACGGTATGTTACATTGTTTTGTTATGCCAACACCAAGAAAATGGTGACTCGCTACAACTTGCTGCTCTGACACATGAAAAATTATACATTGTTTTAGGTATGAAATCTCAAAAAATGATGAAATTTTAAATTATTTACTTGAAAGTAACTTTACATTTCATATTTTAGGTTTTTTTTTAAGTATTTTTCTTTGATCAAAAATTAAATTATTCAAATTCCTAACTTCAGTTGTTAAAAATTCCTGCTTGTCCTACAGCTTGTCCTACACACAGCTTGTTTCACAAGTTTGAAATGAAGCTATACCATCAAACGGGGTAAAAAGTGATGGTTTTGAGCGTTTTTTGTTAATAACTTCTTACCATGAAACATTTCAGAAACAAGTTTAGGCTTATTTTATAGCTCTTTGCGAGGGCTATCGAATAGCATCATAAAAAAATTCCATATGCTATTTGTAAGGTGCCAGACACAAAATAAAACCGTCCCGATTTACCCCTGGGAACGGGGTACCCGGGACACTTGCAATAAAAGTTGATTTTTAATACGTCAGAAGCATGCAGAGTGTACTCATCCATTACTAGCAGTACTTTGAAGTCCTCCTCTTTCATTGTAGATGATGTAGATGTAAAATAAATGACATTTTCTGTGATTTTTACTTGTTTTTCCTTTATTGATATGATATTACCATATTCACTAATTACCATATTATTAATGTGATATTACTGTATCCATGGACATGCCATTGAGCATTGACAACAACCTTGTCCACTGCAAGCTTCACATCAGCAGCCATGTAGCGTTTCTTCTGTATCTGTAAGCTTACAAGATGGTTTGTAATTTCGCACAATTTTAATAGAGTCTAGTGATTTCACTATAACAAAAAAGATCGTGAAAAACATACCTGAAACAGAAAATGTTTTAGTGACAACCATCATATGTTTTGGAGAAATAAATCATAGTTTAGGTCAATTACTTTTCATTCTATGATGCCCGGTGCACAATTCTATATATAGCATTCTATGTACAATTTTGTGACGACCAATGATGCACTAATTTTTCAATGAGTGAATTTTTTTTCGCTGAGCGAGGTAAATGTAATCAAAATTCTTTGTTGTTAATCAATTTTTTTGTTAACTGGAGCCTTTGCTAACTGAGTTTCTACTGTAAATGCATTTTTAAGGGTGTCCCTAATTACCCCGGGAGGTGTCCCTTTTTACCCCGTCACGCGGAAATGGCTGCCATTTTTTTTTCAATGAGATGTGGGAAGCCGAAATATGAAATGTGGGACGCGCGTCCCTATTTACCCCACCTGTCCCCTTTTACCCCGTTTAATGGTAAATGGTAATTTTAAATTAATTCCCAAGCCGGTCTATGTTACCCTCTCAGGGCTGACATTAGGGGGTCTAAGTTCCCCCATTCAGGGGCGGCGCCCCTCATTTGCAAACTATGACACTTTCCTAAAATTTGTCATTTGCATATGTAACTAGAAGAGTTCTACTACAATGCACCAAAACCTGGAGTTAGTTTACCAATAAAATGATAAAATTGGAGGGAGTTCTATGACAGGCTTTAAATAATAGCTCTTTTTTGTGGGTCACATTTTTCATTTTTTAACCTATTAGATATGCATCATTTTTTATCTTTCTATTGTGTTATGTAGCCTCAGTATTAGGCCTTTTAAGCCCATTGACAAAATTTTTCTATGTCAAATAGTTTTTGAGTTTTGGGGGTTCTTATTAAAAAACTCAAAGTGGTCTTTGTTACCCCGGGAGTCTAAGTAACGCCATTTTAGGGTATCATGTTTCTAAAGTCATAGCATGTTTCTTGTGTTGTATCATGTTTCTTATGTCATATCATGTTTCTTATGTCATATCATGTCTCCTATGTCATATCATGTCTCCTATGTCATATCATGTCTCCTATGTCATATATCCTATGTCACATCATGTCTCCTATGTCATATCATGTCTCCTATGTCATATCATGTTTCTTATGTCATATCATGTTGCTCACTGTCCATATACTAATTTAAGATGGAGAACAATAATCATTTATGAACATTTTCCAGAGATTGGAGTGTCTTTTGCGGCATTTGGCGTTGCCTTCATCTTCCTTGGGGTCCTCCTGCTCTTTGACAAAGGCTTGCTAGCCATCGGTAACGTGAGTAATGGGTGCTAGGCAGTAACATTACCATAAGGGTAACTAATGGTCTCTATTGGTAACGTGAGTAATGGGTGCTAGGGAGTAACATTACCATCAGGGTAACTAATGGTCTCTATTGGTAATGTGAGTGATGGGTGCTAGGCAGTAACATTACCATCAGGGTAACTAATGGTCTCTATTGGTAACGTGAGTGATGAGTGTAAGAGAGGAAATTTTTTTCATCATGGTAAAATGGTGATGAACATCTGCACATTCTTTAGTAGTTACTCTATTATTTAGTGACATGAGGTTCACTATTATTATATAATTAATGAGGTTCACTATTATTATTATTATTACTATTATGCCATCAGTGCTGAACCACTTCTAGGAAAATGATTGTACTGTGGGATATTGCACATCGTAGCTTTCTGTGAAGACTTTTACTGCCTGGAACATATCTCTTTTGGAGAAATAATACATTATATATGTTAATAATATAATAATGAAAGAACTTTATTCATGGTATTGCAAATCCATGAAACATTTTTCAAATGGTTTGAAACTTGATAGCCAATATAAGCACTGTACATTAACGATCTTCAACTGCTAAATATTTTTTCTTATTAAGTCAGATTTAATTGAAATTTGTATTAAAAATTTGCAAGTGAAACATTATAGATATTTTATTTTTCTCCCAAACTACATGTGTCCTAAATTTACTAAAACCAGCGACATTAGTACCTATGTCAATTATCAATATTCTTATGACCTGGTAAATCATAACTCCATGTAGTAACATCAATTGTATTAGTAATATGCAAAAAATATAACTCAGTACTCACTGCAGTGAGTGACAGAGAGCGCATTTTCTCGTCAATGAAAACTTGAGGTCACGGACGGACAGACAGACATGGCAAGCACAATAGTGCATTTTTTCCATAAATGAGAAAATCTGCTAAAAATATGACAGATCCTGTTCCTGGCATAATATATGGCAGATCCATTTGTACCTACATTAAATATCCTTATGACCTGGTAAATCATAACTCAATGTAATACCTAACTTTAATTATTATAAATATGTAATATACAAAGAATATGACAGATCCTGTTCCTGGCGGGGTTGTCGCTGGTGGTGGGGCTGGAGCGCACCTTCCACTTCTTCTTCCAGTGGCACAAGGTGAAAGGCTCGGCAGCTTTCTTCGGGGGCATCGTCATCGTGCTCGTCGGCTGGCCCCTCATCGGCATGTGCATTGAGCTCTACGGCTTCATCCTCTTGTTCAGGTTACTGTGAAAATAATCTATTATTGTGCAAAATATCAATCCTCTTGTTCAGGTTACTGTGAAAATAATCTATAATTGTGCAAAATATCAATAGTTTTTTTTTTAAATAAACCATTTTTTGGAAATTTGTCTAAATTTTTGAAAATTTCTCTAAATTATTATTTAATTTTAGTCAAAATATCAATATTTAAGTCGAAATATCAATATTTTAGTCAAAATATCAATATTTAAGTCAAAATATCAATAGTTTTTCTGTAAATAATCCTTATTTTATGAAAATTTCTCTAAGCTAATATTTCACTATTTTTGATGCTATATCCTCTTGTTCAGGTTACTGTCAATTTAATCTATTTATATCACTTGTTTGCTTAAATTGCAAATTAACTAAGAATTTAAAAGTAAAGAAAAGTCCACAAAAATTCATATCTTTATAGAAAACGTTTTCTATAAAGAGATATTCTATAGATTTTCTATAAAGAGTTTTCTATAAAGATATGAATTGTTGTGGACTTTTCTTTGCTTTTAAATTCTAAATATAATCTATAATTGTGCAAAATATCAATTGTTTTTCTTTAAATAATCCTTATTTTATGAAAATTTCTCTTTAATTATTTATTTCATTTTTTTTTTGTGCTAGTGTATTTCTCTGTAGACATATTAGCGTGAAAGTTACTCTCTACAATTTTTTATAGTTTTTCCCTATTCTATTTCTGTATAGATGTTTGACTGTATTCATGTTATATACTAATCAATATATTTTAAATTATCTTATGACATTACAATTAATTTTGATTTTTGATATTGGTTTTTACAAAAAATTTTGTTTTTTGCAGTGGATTCTTCCCCGTGGCTACGTTTGAATGTATTGATGTTAAATAAATAATAGTACCTATATATATATATAATATCTTATGAAATAATTTGGCTATGTTTGAATTTATTGATGTTATACAATTAATAGTATTTATAATATCTTATGAAATAATTTTGGCTTTTGGTTTCTAAATTTAATTTTTTTTTCAGTGGGTTCTTCCCCGTGGCCGTCAACTTCCTCAGGAGGATGCCTGTTATAGGAACCATCCTGAACCTGCCAGGCATAAGTAGGGTGAGTTGTCCCCTAGGTGACATACCCTACGCCTGTTATAGGAACCATCCTGAACCTGCCAGGGATAAGTAGGGTGAGTTGTCCCCTAGGTGACATACCCTACGCCTGTTATAGGAACCATCCTGTGAAATATTCTGAAATATATATGGAATAAGTGATGTCAAATTTTAACCACAAGTATAGATGAGAAAATAATTGCTGTATCTCATTAAATGCTAATTTATGTTAAAATAATTGTACCTCATTAATAGCAAGTTTATATGTTGAAATAATTGCTGTATCTCGTTAAGTGCAAGTTATATGTTAAAATAGTTATTGTATCTCATTAAATGCAAGTTTGTATGTTGAAATAATTGCTGTATCTCATTAACAGCAAGTTTATATGTTAAATTTTTCGCTGTATCTAATTAACAGCAAGTTTATATGTTAAAATACTTGCTGTATTTCATTAATTGCAAGTTTATATGGTAAAATTTATTGCTTTATCTCATTAATTGAAAATGTATATGTCAAAATACCTGAAGTAACACATTAATTTGTTGTGCAGTTTGCGGACCGGATCAGCGGAGACAGCAGGAGCAACGTATGACAATGAAGCGACCAGGCCTCGACTCGGGTCACCCTCTCCAGGGTGGAATTATGTGTACAAAAATACTTTGTTTACAGAAAAAGTAATATGTACACCCAACTTGTGGTGTACATTACAGAAAAAGTAATATGTACACCCAACTTGTGGTGTACAGTACAGAAAAAGTAATGGGTGCAGCCTTGGTGGCGCCTTGGGTGCAGCCTTGGTGGCGCCTTGGTGCAGCCTTGGTGGCGTCTTGGGTGCAGCCTTGGTGGCGTCTTGGGTGCAGCCTTGGTGGCGTCTTGGGTGCAGCCTTGGTGGCTTTTTTGTACCAGTAAACCTGTTTTTGTGCTTAAGTCTTAGATTTTGTTATAGCGATGGCATGTCTATATCTAATTAATGGTAATTTGACCTAATTAATATCTGACTTTAATAGTGACATACATGATTGAGTAGGAACATTTCTGGTTGAACAACAACGTTTCTGGTTGAAAACAACAACGTTTCTGGTTGAAAAACAACATTTCTTGTCGAACAACAATATTTATGGTTGAACAACAACGTTTCTGGTTGAACAACAACGTTTCTGGTTGAAAACTGACGTGTGGTTTAAGTTCCAACCCTTCAGGTTGAATAAGTCAAGAGTAAAGCGTTACTCCAACGTTGTTATTCTTCTGATGTCGAACGTTATCATTAAATATTATACTTATTTATGCTTGTATATAAATTTTTTACCTCTAAGATAATGTATAATAAGTAATGGAAAAACTTTTTTTTTACAAAAAAAAAAATTTTTTTAAATTTGTCGTTTCCGTCAAATTTTGTCAGTCAAAGGCCTGGCCCGCAGCTTGTTTCTAATATACAAATAATTTAGTGTAATATACATAATATACATGTATAGACTTGTGTGTTTAGTAGTAGATATATAAGAAGTGTTCGTGTAACACTTGTATGTGTTAATTTTGTGTGGTTGTGTATGAGCGATAGTGATCAATGTGTTTATTCATTTGTGTGAGCCTGAATGAACATTGTATTACAGACACAGTTATGCGGAAGTATACAGGAAGCTTGTGTCCATTGTACTGTATTACTGTAAGACGATGATGAAAAAATCTGTATTATTTCATGTTATTTATTTAACCATGACACTTGTGTGTCCTGACACACTCTGTGTGTCTTAACACACGCTGTGTGTCTTAACACATGCTGTGTGTGTCAACACACGCTGTGTGTCCTAACACACGCTGTGTGTCCTGACACACGCTGTGTGAGTCTCGCCTGCAGAGAGAGCGGTATCTTGGCTGTATTTCTGTATAAGTATACTTATACAGAAGTTTATATTATACATTATAATGTATAATATAATGATACTAGATCAATGTTTCATACTATATAATATATACATATTTGTGTTTGAACCTACACATTATTGTATTAAATGGTACTAATGATAATACAATATGCGTATAATTATGATAAATAATACAAGAATTGTATTAATTCTAAAGTATACAGCCTGCCAAGATGCCGCCTGAGGGGAGGCTGGACGTTCCCCCAGGCCTCGTCTAGTCTACACACGTATTTTTCTTTGTGATGTGTGAAAGTTTGGTGTGTATGAATATTGATCATCTAAATATACGTTCATACATATACCATTTGTATACTTAATAGAAACAGTCATATTTTTTATTTTCTATGATAATAAAACTGTCAACATGTTTCGTATGTATGAATTTGTATACACATCAAACATGCATGTCTTGTATGGAGATTGTCCGCGATTGTTTCTGTATGAATGTGCGCGTGTAGCCTCATCATACATTACCTGTATGAGATGAATCCATTATTGTGTTAAATTTATACATTTTTTTCACACATGCATCATACATCGTTGTGTGATACTCATATTATACATCAGTTACTGATGTCACACAGCATATATCTGTACATACTGTGTGTGTTGTATACAATTTCTGTATAGGCTTCAATTTTACACAGAAATTGTATTTTTCCGATTGCATCGGTTAAAGTAATTTTGTCTACAGTAGTGATTCAAATTGATTATTATAATTAATAACCTAATTTTAGTTGATTTATTAATTTTAAATAATTGATTAAATTTAATTAGGTAATTTATTTTAATTAATTAAATCTGGTGGGCGGTAGATTAAAAAAATTGGTGTCCCATGCAAATTTTTCTGCTATTTTCCGTAATGTTTTAGGGAAAGATAAAATTATTCAATATTATCCATTTAAATATTAAAGTAACATTAATACTTGTTGAAGTTTCAAATAGAGGTATTAATAAATTGATATTATTAATCAAATTTATAATAAATTATTTATTTGTATACTAAACAGGAGTATAAATAAATTAGTGTTATTATTAAATTAATAATAAATTTTGTAAAGTAACAGTAATACTTGTTGAAGTTTCACTTAGCAGGAGTATTGATAAATTAATATTATTAATAAATTAATAATAAATTAATTAGTATTAGGTATGCGCGTGGTATTTCTCCACCCTGACCTGGGCATCGGGGGGGCGGAGCGCCTGGTGGTGGACGCGGCGGTGGCGGTGCGATCCTGCCACCAGGTGGTGGTGTACACCACCCACCACCACCCCCACCACTGCTTCCCTGAGACTCGTGATGGTGGGTCGTGATATAGGATAACACCACCACCATCATCACCAGCACCATCATCACCACCACCACCACCACCACCCCCACCACTGCTTCCCTGAGACTCGTGATGGTGGGTCGTGATATAGGATACCACCACCACCACCACCACCACTGCTTCCCTGAGACTCGTGATGGTGGGTCGTGATATAGGATACCACCACTCGCCACTACCACCACCACATCACCACCACCACACCACTCACCACCACCCACCACCCACCATCACAACTTCACCGATATCTCAATATTTTTTCTGGATTATGTCAAATATATATTGTTATATAATTGACGTTGATGATAATCACTGCATGTTTAATAATTGAACGAGGCACGATGGTGATTGGTCTCCCTCTTCACACAAGGTCCCATCTGTAAAATCATCTATTTTACAAAATCGTTTTTATCTACATTTATTGTAAGTATAAATAGTAAATTTTTATATAATAACGTGGATTATATCATAGGTTTACCGCCCCCTTGAAGGTATACCGCCCCCTTAAAGGTATACCGCCCCCTTAAAGGTATACCGCCCCCTTAAAGGTATACCGCCCCCAGGTACCCTTAAGGTGGTGTGTGTGGGAGACTGGCTGCCTCGTAGCGTCCTTGGTAAGGGCGCCGCCCTTTGTGCCTACCTGCGCATGCTGCTGCTGGGGCTCTACGTGGTCCTTAGGGTGCCCTTTGACGTGGCCATAGTGGACCAGGTCTCCGTGTGCGTGCCCTTACTAAGGGCCTTCTGCCGAGGTGGGTGGACTGGGGGCCCTTGCTAAGGGCCTTCTGCTGAGGTGGATGGACTGGGGGCCCTTGCTAAGGGCCTTCTGTCGAGGTTAGTGGACTGGGGGCCCTTGCTAAGGGCCTTCTGCCGAGGTGGGTGGACTGGGGGCCCTTGCTAAGGGCCTTCTGCCGAGGTGGGTGGACTGGGGGCCCTTGCTAAGGGCCTTCTGCCGAGGTGGGTGAACTGGGGGCCCTTGCTAAGGGCCTTTTGCCGAGGTGGGTGGACTGGGGGCCTCTGCTAAGGGCCTTCTGCCGAGGTGGATGGACTGGGGGCCCTTGCTCAGGGCTGCCTCCCTAGGCGGGAGAACTTGATGCCCTTGCTAAGGGATGCCTCTCTAGGCGGGAGAACATGATGCCCTTGCTAAGGGCTGCCTCCCTAGGCGGGAAAACTTAGTGCCCTTGCTAAGGGCTGCCTCCCTAGGCGGGAGAACTTGATGCCCTTGCTAAGGGCTGCCTCCCTAGGTGAGAGAACTTGATACCCTTGCTAAGGGCTGCCTCCCTAGGCGAGAGAACTTGATGCCCTTGCTAAGGGCTGCCTCCCTAGGCGAGAGAACTTGATGCCCTTGCTAAGGGTCGCCTCTTGAGCTAGGTAAACTGTGTACTCTTGCTAAGGGCTGCCTCTTGAGCTAGGTAAACTGTGTGCCCTTGCTAAGGGCTGCCTCTTGAGCTAGGTTAACTGTGTGTCCTTACTAAAGGCTGCAGATTCGTTCAGAATTTAGTCATCTAGTGATCCATTATCTAATAATGGCGTTTGGGGGCTAGGACCATTCACATCCATTGCTGTATATTCATACTAAGCATTATTTACCCGCGTCATGGTGACATTACTTAATGGTACTTCTCTTCACTTAATGGTACTTCTTCTACTGTTAATAACCTTCTCCCCACCAGGCAAGGTGCTGTTCTACTGCCATTACCCAGACCTCCTCCTCACCACTCGCAAGACCTTCCTGAAGAAGATCTACAGGGGCGTGCTGGACGCCATCGAGGAGTGGTCTACATCTTGCGCCCACAAGGTCCTGGTGAACAGCGCCTTCACCGCCGGGGTCTTCAAGCAGACCTTTAAGTCCATTAAAGACCCTCCCGCGGTCTTGTATCCTTCGCTGAACACCGAGAACTTTTTAAAGTGTCCTGAGAGAAACATGGATGACTTGGGTATTTCTATGGCTGAGAATGGGAACTTGTTCGTTTCTGTTAACAGGTTTGAAAGGAAAAAGAATCTTGGATTAGCCTTGCATGCCCTCCGACAGTTCCTTGACACGCAGGATTCCGACTCCGAGATTTCAACCCCTTCACCCAAGGATTCAACCCCAACAACCCCTTCACCCAAGGGTTCAACCCACCTGGTCATAGCGGGGGGTTATGACCCACAAAACCGAGAGAACATAGAACACTACGAAGAACTGGTGAGGTTAAGTTCAAGTTTAAACCTTGACGAACACGTAACATTTCTCAAGTCCCCCGACGAGGTCACCAAAGTTAACTTGCTGAGAAGAGCGACATGTTTAATTTATACCCCCGACGCCGAACATTTCGGGATAGTACCTATAGAATCCATGTTCTGTGGTACCCCCGTGATAGGGGTTAATAGTGGGGGACCCACGGAGACTGTGGTTCACGGGGTTACAGGGTATTTGTGCCCCAATACCCCTGAGGGGTTCGCGGCCGCCATGAGGGAGGTGGTACCTCGGTCCAGGGAGATGGGGGAGGCGGGCAAGAGGAGGGTTAGGGAGAGGTTCTCGTTTGAACGTTTCAGTCAGGATTTGACTGATATCATCAGTGAGCTGGCAGCTACGTAGAGATTTTACCATGAATTTCCCCATTTAAATCCCCAGGGATAAAGTGCAACAGGGTCTCCTCACGCTGCCAAGGATAGTTCCTCAATCTTGGGGATTCGGATTCCACTAGGATAATTCCTAATCAAATCCTTCGTTATCGCGTCCAAGTCTCAGTCCTTGTCTTTGTGGCCGATCAAACTGTGTTGAGATCCTTCGTTTTGTGTGTGTTTAACTTGCATCTGTTGTCCATTATTGATTTTTAATTTTAAATTTTTGTATTTCGTTGTATTCGCGTGTTAAAGAAGGTGGCCATAGAAGCCTTGCAGTTTGTTAATAAATTTATACTATATAAATATTACAACCTGTTATTCTTTATTCGTCAAATATCCTGTGATTAAAATTGAATTATTTTCCTTCAAATTTGTTAGGTCAAATTTGGTTATTTCCTTAAGAACCAAAGCCTTAAGGAACGACATTATCTTATTTGAAGGCCTTGCATTTTTTTACGAACTAAAGCCTGGAGCTGCACGATAAAGTTGAAAAAAAAAAGTTGGCGCATTTATTAATAAAAAACTATTGATAAATTTGAACTGATTTGACTAGTCGTGGTTGTACGTGTAGAAAAATATTAATAATCTCGAAATCACGGCTCGTGGTAGCCATCTTTAAATTATATCCACATTTCTACTGTTATCCTTACAGGGGATCTAAATTTCTACACTCATCTTTAAATTAGTATTAAAAATGAAGCGTTTTCTTCAAATGAAATCTAAATGACTACGTCTCAGTTGTATCTGTCTTCTAGGTAGGGTTGTTATTGGCTTTCTTATATTCATTTTTAGTCGCCATGCTAGTTATTCATACCTATATCAGTTTTATTAAAGGTTAGTTTATCAGGATGTTTTTCTTAGGTCACTTTCTGTTCCATATTAACTTATCTCATCATTATTATATGTTATTGTTCTTTCGAGAGTAATGTCGCCTGTGGAGCTTTTTAGCTTATATAGGCATTCACAAGGAAGCACTTTGTACTCTTTTCAAATTTTCGATGGTCTCTTGTTATGAATTTTTGTGTGCTGTTAATAAAGAATACATGTATATCGCTTCTTTTTGATGGTAGTGGCATGATTTTTTTAATGATTTTAGCGCATTTTCTCATTTATGGAAAAAATGCACTATTGTACTCGCCATGTCCGTCTGTCTGTCTGTCCGTCCGTCGGTCCGTGACCAAGTTTTCGTCGACGAGAAAATGCGCTCCTTGTCACTCACTGCAGTGAGTGATGAGTTATATTTTTTTTAGTGGTTTGTGGTCCTGAGGCGAGCGTCACAATTATCCATGACAAATTGAAATGCATTTCGTTGCTGAATTATTTTCTAACTGATAACAACCGTTCATTACTTTCATGACTATTAATAAAAGTTAATAAATTTGAATGTGGTGGAGGAGAAAACAGTCAATTCGGATTAGGAAGGAATTAAACTTCTACTTAGCCAGATCTATGTGAAGGAGCCAGGTTCTATAACTTTCATTACTGGGGTGGAATTCACAATGAATACGGATAAATTAATAAATATAGTTTAACTAAGTTAATTTAAATCAATGTGTGGCAATAACAATAACACGGTCGCTGACCTGTGACATGAAGCAGGGTAAATGTGCATGGCTAGTCGAGTATACGCAAAAAGAGATTAATTTCACATTATTAATAATGCACACTAATTAATATAAAGCAACATATTAGGTATAGCATGCTACAGAGTATCCTAAATAATCTACGGGTCTAATCTGTCGTGAGAATTGAGACGTTAACGAAAACTATCGACGAAATGCAAACGAAAATAAGAGACGGGGTGGGAAGAACAAATTTATTGAAGTAACAGGCGCGTATGTCTGTCTTTGTAGCGTGAAAAGCCATAAACAATTCATTATTTTACATTTGTGTTTATTTACATTTTACAAAAAATTGTGAAAAAAAAGGCCATGGGCCTATTTCTTCAGTGCCGACATTTCTATTCTATAAGAAGCGAGAGTGTGACTAAAAAACTCCAATCTATTTGTAACAAATTTTGTAATTACAACTCGACAAACTGTGGAATAATGTTACGTAGATAATTAATGTATGAAATAGATGTTATTATATGACGTGTTATGTCGTGCCTGCAATTTCCTCCTATCAGTTCCATCTTGTTCTGCAGCGCAGTGTTTACAGCTGGCAAGTGTGGTCCGGGAAGTAGTCGGCGACGGGTGAAAATGTCGGGTTTTCGTAACTTATCACGTTGTTGCTTGCTTAGATTACATAGCCATGGGCGACTGAAGGTAAGAAGTTCAGTTAATTAATATTTAGAGTGTTTTTTTTATCCAAATGTTACTACTTTGAGGCTGAAAATGGCTCGGTTTTGATACTGCAACTCGTAACTTAATCACATGATGTCTGCCTAACTGCCTTGACCTAACTTTTCGAGTCGAGTGATTTCTGTTGCAATTTGACGAATGATTAGATGATTGTTGCACATGCTATATTTCGAAATTATTAAATAAACTCTATGTTGTATTCAGGTGGCACTTTTTGACAGTTTTGTGCTGTAGTTTTATTGAGATTTTAACCAAGGTGATGAGAAATCTTGAAACTGAGAGCCTCAGCCTAGGTGAAAATAGTTCTGGCAGACTTGCATCAAATACCTGCAAAAATTTTGCAACATTTTATGCCTGCAATCCTGATTTTAATTAAAATGTAGGGTAACATTTTGGAAGGATACCTAAAATATGAATAGGGAATCACAATACCTAAATGAATATGAAATGTTTCAAAGATGAAACACTTCTCATATTTAATCAAAAATGGAAAACTAGACTTAGATTTGCTAATTTAGTAAATATTTTAAAATTGATCTTATTAGGTAGGTACCTGGCACCAGTCTGGAAGATTGGACAGAATTTTTCAGAATCATTGGTAAAAAGACAATCTTTTGAATGCTTTTCAGAAATTACTGGCAAAAATGTACTGTTTTTTTTTATTTATAAAGAAATTGGTAAAGAACAGGTGAAATTGTCCATGTGACATTGTGACATGCCCAAGGGCATTTAAGCCCATAATCCCATTCAGGCATTCACAGATGGCAAAGCACTAAAGCAGGCATGGAATATATCTACTTGGCAAACCCTAATTGAATTTTTTGAGCCGTGGTTTTATGCCTTTATGGATTTGCCAGACATGATTACATTTTTCAAGCTGTGAATTCTACATTTTGGCCATGAAAAGCCATTAACAAGGTGCAAATTTATTTACAAAGTCAATGCACATGTAACCCCAAATCTCTAATTTACCCTAAAAATGTCAAACGGCAACAATAACATTTGTCTTTACTGTAAGCTGAATATGTTTTAATGCAGTCTGATCACTCTGATGTGACTGCAAGTCTGCAACTATGTCCGGTCTTCAACAAAATGTTTAGGTTGACTTGTTTACATTACGGTGATTATGTTCTGCAGGATATATTGGCGGGAATGGTAAATTAATGCGGAAGCGGAAAATTTCATGAAATGACATGTTTGCAAAGTGCAAACCACGTCTTTTTCATCAATAAAAAATTTATGACATTTGATCTGTGAGATTACATACCTACTGAAATTATATGATATTAGAGCTGCAATATTTTAGAAGAAAGTAGGACTTCTCCAGCCCTGTGGCAAAGGCTCTGAATGTTTTTCCAGTTTGGAATTGGAAATCCTCTGGGCATAGTGACAAAGCAGAGAGTTTTTTAGACTCTCCCTCAAGTGTTCATTTTTGAGTCCTATAAGTAAGTAGACCAGTAAAGTATCCTGGATACGAGCATTATAATACTTAAGAAATTGGTTTAAATCTTGAGTAAATGAGGAAAATAAAAATGATCTGATTCTAAAAAAGCTCTGGTTTGCTACTATGCCTCTGAGTTAAACTTGATTCCGTTGTAGCGGTTCGATCATCTGGGGTTCCACAAAACCTATGTGGATATGAGCCCCCTTACCCCATGAGACTATCCCACTCAAGATGATTAGACTGAATTTGGGACAATGAAAAACTGGTGAATACAAACACCCATATACTTAAGACTAAGAACCTAAGCAATGACAGTAGAGGATCATCCGCAGGCAGCAAAGTACATTTTCCAAAATATAACCTAAGCCACCCTAGGGGAGAAGCCCTTGTAACGAATTTATGGTACATAAATTTGAGATTACTATTACAACATTGTGAAGCTGTTACACCACTGGAAAATTTGCAAAACGCATCCTAGCCTACCGCACACGGATTGATAATCATAGTCCGGTAAATAGCATAACATGAGCTTAATAGACACGGGCAAATGGAAAAATCTGGTTAAACAAAACAGTGAGTATCGGCTTGATTTCCGGAGAATAGAGCAGTACACCTGCAAGATACTTTACCAGGTCCCAGGATCACTCCTGGAGCATAGCCAGAAGACAAGTTTGGTAGATCACTTCTGGCCAACTTTGCAGTCATACACAGGCACACACCCCCAGGCACACACCTCTTTGTACTCACCGATCTAGTAGCCAGAATACCGAGATGTCACTG